GAGCAACCCTGAGCAGCCAGCAGCATCAGCAGGGACCCAAGAGCAGGCAAGCAACCCTGAGCAGCCGGCAGCACCAGCAGAGACCCAAGAGCAAGCGAGCGAACCTGAGCAGCCAGCAGCATCAGCAGAGACCCAAGAGCAAGCGAGCAACCCTGACCAGCCAGCAGCATCAGCAGGGACGCAAGAGCAGGCGAGCAACCCTGAGCAGCCAGCAACAAGAGTGAAGACACCGGCAACGCCAGCCACGATTCAAGCACCACAATCACATCCATTTGCGTTGGCAGCCATCGAGCCACCAAACAGCACAGCAGCAACCCTCAGCAAGCACGAGGTGCCTCAACCAACCCTGCAGAACAAGGGCACTCAGCTGGCAAAACACGAAGGCACTCAGCTGGCAAAACACGAAGCATCAGCAACACGGCAGCCCTCCACCATTGAGACGCCTGCAATCAATGCTCAGCCAGGCCCAATCACCACCAGGCCCAAGCATAAACAAACTGGAGCGGTTGTAGGATCCACAGCTTCCACAGGGAACAGCCCCGCAAGCAAATCCCAGCCAGCCCAGCCAGTCTCACACGTTAAAGTTGAAGTGCAGGAAGGTGGCACTCCCATAGTTCCGGCTGATTACAAGCAGCGGCAGGCTTTGCAGGGTGAGTTCAAAAGGCTGGCCACCACACATTCTGCACCTGTTCTCATGGGGCCTGCTAGTTTATGTTGTCATCATCATGCATAAAACATCATGCAACCATCCATCCCTTCATCGCTCCTGGAGGCGCCTGCGTGACCCTGATGCAAACGATATTTGTCCAGAATTTGTTGAAGCCTGGCAGGAGGCTGTCAGGACCAGTTCCAAGGCCTGTTCGGGTCAAGTCATATTTGCATGTGCGGGCTTCATATACACACACAGACACACGCACCTATGTAAACAAAGCTCGAACCTATGTCCAGGCAACAAAATCAGCGCTATTTGAGAAGTGGCTTGGAGCGGGAAAGAACTGGAGTTTGCTTCTGGGCTTCAAGTCACGTCATGCGCACATTCCTATGTCTAATCACTCTTAAACTCGATCTGAAATGATCACGTCGTTCTTTTCGTCTGCAGGTTGAAGGTGACAGCCTCTAAGAGCCACACTGACAAATCCATTGCCCAAAAGAAGATGAGCTTCTCGGCCTGTGCAAACCATACCACTTGAACAATCCAAGCCAACCGGTCACCCCACCCAATCCATATTAAGGTTGGCTGACCAGAGCCCAACTTTTGACCCTACACGGTGGAGATACCGACATTGTCGACCGGATCATCGAGGAGAAAACTGCGCAGGGTTTGACCCAGCCACATCCCGATTGTCCAGGTGTCACAATGTACTACGCGACCATACGGCACAAAGGATGTGATCACATGTGTGGTAAACAACAAGTGACAACCTCTCTTTATGTAGCAATGTTTTACCGTTTGCGCCTAGGTATGCACGGATGTCTCGAAAAAAGGACGTGGAAGAGTCAAAGACCAAGCTGTCATTGGAAAACTCTGCAAAACTGGAGCATGGTTGCGAGGCTCCAAACAATACGTTGTGCACACACCAATCGAACAGTTAAACACATGCATTTTACACTTTGTCTTTTGCTGTCATCAGGCGTCAGATAAGCTTCTGACGGGTCTTGCCATACAAGAATCTTTCAAGCTACGGGCATACCAAAAGGAAACGCAGATTCCAACTCCGAAGCCAGCGCCTGAAAAACCAAAGAAGCCTAGAAGGTCGACTCTCAGCTCCTATCCGCGAGAAAAAACTGTAATGCATAGATATGGGTATGCTATGGTATGTTGGTATGTTCATAGCCGTGGGATTTGTCTTATCTTAGGAAGGAGATGCCTGAGGGACACCTACCAGGATTGGAGTGGATGGTGACCCAATTGCTGAAAGATTTGGCTGAAGCCAAAATGTGGCCGATCAAATTGGCAGGAGTGAAGTGTCAGGAGACCTTGCGTACCCCAATGGCAAATTATGTCATGTATCTTCCCCAAACAGGATTTTGTGGAGTCAGTGCATTTGGCCTCTAGGTGACACGCTCACAGTGCAAGCCAGTGCTTTGGAACAGGGCTACTTCGAGCTGAAAGCTATGTGGGATGCCTATAACAAGGCGTGACTCCCTTTTTTTAAACCTATGCTAGCATTGTTGTGGGGTGGCCATGCCAATGAAGAAACTATTCTTTCCTATCTGCCCCCCTTCTGACCACAAAGGACTCCGAGCATGATCTCAGTGATCTCCCAGATCGCCTTGATGCTGCGGTTTCTGCTCGGCAGAACTACCTTGACAGCGCGCTCATGGCTAGCCGCTTGTGCAAGAAGAAGGGAACGAAGAAGAAGGCAAGGGACCCATAATTCATGGGAAATATAGAGCCATATGAAGTTGTCGCAGGCAGATGAGAAGGCAACCAATGCTGCTACTGAACCTTGAGGCTTTTTTTTGGGGTTTACCATATGAGTAAAGTTCTCATATGCATGGCGTGAACATGTGCTTGGGCATAGCTTGATGTTGGGCACAGGGTGCGCATGTGCAATTTCCAACGTCATCGGCCCAGCCGTGATGGGTTCCGTTTCACACGGAGTGGCGAACGAGCAACAAAAAATGATCCTCCATTCGTGAAGACATCGTCCACCAGCACCACCACCTTGTGACCATACACCCCAAGCCCTAGTTGACATATCATGTGTGCTCTCCGTTGCCCTTCGCTCCAGGACTTCTTCGCCATGAGACAAACCGCAAAAGAAAGGACCGTGGTTTTGTCAAAACATGACCGCACTTCAAACATATCGCATGAGTTTCTAGAGCTGTTTACGTTCATGGTGTACCCTGCCATGCTCGCCCCTTCTCAGGATAGCGCTGGTGCTTCAGCTCGGAGTCCATTGCCATCAAAGAAGCCTCGGCCGACGTTGCGGCCACACACGGCCCCTGCGGTTGTGAAGGCTAGAGAGGCCGCACTGCCCAAGCGAGAGACTCGTCCCCCAGAGTTTGCTTCACTGCTTGTGGATGCTTTTTCCTCTGGAAAGACCAGTGCAACCCAGGTGCTTTGGCTGTGCCGTCAAACATAGTTTTTTCTTTTAAACCGCGTATAGATTGAGAAAACAACATGTAAGTCTAAGTGTTTATAAGCACTACATGATGCAGGTTCAGAAAACTGCTGCCTCTGCAGTGCAATGGTTGACCAACCATGGTGGGCAAGTGAAAGATTCTCAATGTGATCTTGTCACAAAACTTTCTCGAGTTGCGACTTCCGGGAAATGGTCAGCCAACGCTGAAAGGGATACACAAAGGCTTTTAGCACGGCTATCTCAACACCTTGATGCGGCAATTGAAAACAAACAAGTCCGCATGATCAACCCGTCCACTTTCGAAGAGTCATGGCAACCAATGCCCATGATCCTCCCACATCAGTTCTGCCTTGCGTTGTGGAAGAGAGGCGAACATGTTTTTCGAAGGTGTTTGTTTGGTGAGCTAACGGAACAAAATGTCCAAACATATTGGGACCATTTGGAAGCAAAAGGAACTTGGTTTGCTGATCATCCTGCAAAGTTGTGGCCTCACCGGGGAAAACTTGCTGGAGTCAGCATTTATGGCGATGAGGTCCAGGCCTACAGAAATAGTGAATGTGGAATTGTTTCTGTGGTGGCCTTTACTGCAGACCTATCTTTCCGGAATGATCCATTGATGAGGTATTTTGCAACTGCTGTGTGGTCTGAGCACCACGAATCAGATTCTACCTACAATGACTGCATCCAACATGTTGTGGAATCCTTTCGACAATTGTCTGATCCGTCTGTTTGTTGGCCTTGGACACAAAAAGGATACAAGGTATGCTTCACAGGGGTCCAGGGTGATCTGAAGTGGATATGTGATCGAATGGGTGGACTTTTCAATTATAGGCGGAACGACTTTTGCTCTCGATGCTATTGCACAAAGACCGATCGTGACGTGTACAAAACGTTGCCGTACTTTCCAAACAACCCTGACCATTTTGGAGAACGTCGATATGACAACGTTGACATGGCTACAACATATTCTGATCTCTTCAGGCTACCCTTAGCAATGTCTCGAATTCAACACGATGTATGTCATTCTCAGCTGTTGGGCAGTGGCAAGACGACGAATGGCCACTTGTTTGAGATTCTGTTATGTTTTATAACGGGTTGGTTATTTATAGTAGACGTGCGTTGGCGCTTGACGCTTTAGGAGTTTTCCTATTTCTGAATTGTTCAGTGAGGAGCAGTGTTGGTACACCTATGTGAGGGTGAATGGTTTGGATCTATGAGTGGTCCTGGTTTCTATCCAGACAAGCTGGCACGGGTACTTCGTTTCGCTCACCGGAAATTCCTGGCATACAAGAAGCTTCACAAGCTGCAATGTTCACAGCCGAAGTTCACTCCGGCAAGACTTTGCCGGAGAGGCAGAACAAGCTCCTTAAACATAGTTCAACAACATGTTTGCGGTGTGTATTTGCGGTGTTTGTTATATATTTGAGGTGGACAGTGGACATGATATGCACTTCATATCGCCGAGTGTTAGAGCAGCTTTGCATGTTCAGGGTGGTTTTTTTTTGACGTCATGTCTATTGATTTCCCGTGGGTCCAGTTCTTATGTTTTTTTCTTTTGCATGAGACAAGATCAGGTTTTCCGTGCCTCGCTTCAAAGGCTGCTCCTTCAAAGGTTATGACTTTTTGGTTAGCATTCGAGGCTGAAAAGTTTGCCATGCGCGACGGAGCAACTCAACATGACAGAGTTGTTGCTGCGTGCATCTTTGCATACAAGCGCATGCTGGAGATCATGTCTAATGGAGAGCTGATCCTGAGTCCATCTGAGGCTCAAGATTTCAA